AGTGAGCTCCAGGAAAGGCGCAAAGCTACACAGAGAAACCCTGTCTCGAAAAACAAAAAAACAAAACAAAAAACAATCCCTAATCTTAACATAAGAACCCCTATGACTCATCATCCCATCATGACCCCTGGGCATAATGTGATTCATCTCAACCTTAGCAGAAACCAACCGTGCCCCATCCAACCTTACGGAGGGTAAATCAGATCTAGTATCGGGACTTAACGGTGAATATGCTGATGGTCCGTTTGTGCTTTTCTTCATAGCCGAATACACCAATATTATCTTAATAAATGCCTTATCCACAATTGTATTTATAGGGCCATTCCATGATCCCTACAACCCAGAACTATTCACTATAAGTTTTATAAGTAAAAATCTAATTTTAACTACACTGTTTCTATGAATTCGAGCATCATACCCACGATTTCATTATGACCAACTCATACATCTCTTATGAAAAAATTTCCTTCCACTCACACTAGCTTTTGGCATACGACACATCTCAATTCCAACTTTCATAGCAAGCATTCCCCCCTACACTTAGAAATATGTCTGACCAAAGAGTTATTTTGGTAGAGTAAATAATAGAGATTTAAGCCCTCTTATTTCCAGGATAATAGGAATTGAACCTATACCTAAGAAATCAAAATTCTCCATGCCACCTAAACACCTGATCCTATCTCTGTATGGTCAGCTAACTAAGCATTCGGGCCCATACCTCGAAAATGTTGGTTTAAACCCTTCCCGCACTAATTAATCTCTCTGTCACCAGAGTTAAAACCAGGAAGCACCCAGCAAGTCCTGCCTTGTGTATGTCCCCACCACTGCTGAGAAAATGAGTGGCCTCTAGCCCAAAGGAGAACCTGGAGTCAATCATGGAACCCACGTGTATTGATTCAACACTGACTCTGCTGAGCAGTGGGGTGCACATGGTGACCACAGGCTCAGCTCCTGGTCTCGGGGAGCTGATCCCCAGCTTGGATAGGGAAGAGCCAGTGGACAGTGAAGGGAGTCTACAATTTAAACACCATCTGTGAGGACAAGGACACGTGTGCTGAGAAACCCGCCATCAGGCGATCTTGGCTTCCTGTGAACTCCCCAGAGTGAATCACACAAACCCACATGACCAGGTCTGTGACACATCTAGCCACATGGCATGGCGTACCATCTGCTCCTGACCAGAACATGGGTACCCACGGCTACGTGACTTAGCTAGAAACCAGTTGTTTTTTGTTTGCTTGTTTTATGTGGGGATGGGGATGGGACCCTCAACTGCAGACATCTAGGCAATCGCTCTGCCACTAAGCCCCACACCCCAGCTTGTACACACTAACTGTTGTAAATGTTGGGGGGAAGCACTGGTGGGCTCCCCAGGGATAACGGTGCAGGCACATGGGAGACAAAAGGACAATGGGGAGTCGGAGGCCAGCCTGGGTACATCCTGAGACCCTGGCTCAAAAAAAGAAAAAAATAAAAGTGGGAGGGGATTCCTGATGATCAGAGGTGACACTCAGATATGGCCAACAGGGACAGACAGAACCAGAGCCCGGGAACTGTGAGCTACAAGGTCATGGAACTGGGGCCCCATGAGGAAAGGGCAAGTGCATTTCAGGCCTGGGAGAAGTGTAGGGACAGAGATGGGCAAAAGCCATGTTGGCTGGGCCTGTGGCTGCCACTCTGGTCTCAACAATGCAGAGGGGGAATAGATGCTAAAGCCACACGCACGTTCAAGGAAGACCTTCCTGCTGGTGTGAACAGGACTGGGTCCTCACCGGCTCCCTGAAACTGTGACAAAATACCTTTGAAAGCAATTTAATGGCGAGAAGGGTTCAGAGGGGTCAGCCTACAGCCACTTGGACCATGCTGAGAGAGAGAATCATGGCCAGGGGCATGAGATGTGGCAATGTGTTCATCTCGTGGAAGATGGGGAAGTGGGGTGGTGAGACCAAGGGGCTTCCCCTCCTAAAGTCCCCTAACAACAGTTACTACTGGAGACCAGGCCTTCAACACACGAGCCTCTTGGGAACATTCCAGATCCAGACTACAGCAGATTGGGAGGAATTGGGGAAAGAACCAATATTTCACTAAGTAAAATAAAGTTGTTTGATAGACTCTATGAGCCCATGACTCCTCCCTCTATGAGCCCATGACTCCTCCCTCTGTGAGCCCATGACTCCTCCCTCTATGAGCCCATGACTCCTCTATGAGCCCATGACTCTATGGACAGACTCTGGGAAATGCAACCACAGAGGACAGGAGCACACCAGGGAAAATAGAAGCCACAGAACTCCGGCTAACTCCCATAGGCATGGAGTGGGGTGGCTCCATCGAACATCAGAGGGAGCTGAGCATCCAACATGGCAGCCATAAGCCGTCTCTCCCTGCTGGGTGAGCCCAAGCTCTAACGGAGTGTAAAAAGCACATCAGATTTCAAGATGTGGTCTTTAAGGAAGTCAAATATCTCAGGAAAAAAATGTTTTACACTGACTACATGTGGGAATGTTATCTCAGACACTGAGTCAGTTACATATATCATTAAGGGGCTGGAGAGATGGTTCGGCAGTTCAGAGCACTGGCTGCTCTTGCAGAGGACCCAGGTTTGATTCCCAGCACCTACATGGCGACTCACAGTCATCTGTAGTTCTAGCTCTAAAGGATCTGATGCCCTCTGGCCTCTACAACTACACATATACACATACACTGACAAAATATGTATGCACATAATTTAGAATAAAACTAAATCTTTAAAGGGCGCGTGTGTGTGTGTGTGTGTGTGTGTGTGTGTTTAGGATTCATCTCAGGCCAGGCATGATGCCTCTTACCTATAATCCCAGTACATAGGAGGCTGAGAAAGACAGACTGCCATGAGTTTGAGGCTATCCTGGGCTACATAGTGATTTTCTAGGCTAGCCTGAGCTACAGAATGAAAGCCTATTTCAACACCTCCCCCTCCAAAAAAAGAACAAAGATTAATTTCACTTGTTCTCATTTCTTTCTCTCCCCGCCCCCATGCTGCCCCACACTTTTTGTTTTTTGAGGCAATGTGCCAATAGACATATGGCCCAGGCTGACATGGAACTTTCTATCCTCCTGCCTCAGTCTCCCAAGCGCTGGGATGACAGGTGTGGACCACCACATGTAGTTCTTTTATTATTTTAATGTTGTATCTAAAAACTGCAAATGACATTGGTGGCCCCATTCCATTTCTCCTGAATTCCACTCATCAAATATTCTTGCTTTTAAAAAGCAGACAAAAGAGCTGGGTGGTGATGGCACACGCCTTTAATCCTAGCACTCGGGAGGCAGAATCAGGCGGATCTCTGTGAGTTCTAGGCCAGCCTGGGCTACAGCGTGAGTTCCAGGACAGCCAGGGCTACACAGAGAAACCCTGTCTCAAAAAAATAAAAATAAAAAGCAGACAGACAAAAACACACCTTTGACTGGAGCAGGTGTTGGGGGCGTTCTTATAAAACCCTTAGCTCCACCTTCCTTTACAAACAAATCCTGCCACCTCTCACCTCGCCGCTGCACCGGTCCCTCATCTCACCGGTCCCTCATCTCACTGGTCCCTCATCTCACTGGTCCCTCATCTCACTGGTCCCTCATCTCACCGGTCCCTCATCTCACTGGTCCCTCATCCCGTCTAGCCTAAGCTGTACCTGCCTGAGACCTAAAGCCGTCCCGTGAGCTCCCAAGGCTGACGGAGGACGGAACCAACCTCTCTCTCAGGGCCTCGTGCTTCAAGTCCAGCAGCAGGGGGATGGAGTCTTTGAAAGCCTTCATCTTTGCTTCCAAGTGGAAGGCCACGGACAAGCTGCGCACCTGGCGGGGCAGCTTGCGGAGGCCTTTGAGGAAGCCGTCGATGCCTTCCTGCAGATACTGGACATTGAGGTTGATCCAGAGGGTCTGGGACCACTCCTCTTTGGCAACCTAGAAACGTTAGACATGTCAGCACCAACAGGGCCTGAGGGAAATGCAAAAGGATGGGACAGGTGTGTGCCTAGCTCTGGCCCTCCTCAGCTTTTCTCTCCTCTAACATAAAAGGGTGAGTGTTGAGGCCAAAAAGAAGGGGTGTGAGGGGGCTGGAGAGATGGCTCAGAGGTTAGAGCACTGATTGCTCTTCCAGAGGTCCTGAGTTCAATTCCCAGCAACCACATGATGGCTCACAACCATCTGTAATGAGATCTGGTGCCCTCTTCTGGCCTGCAGTCATACATGCTGTATACATGATAAATAAATAAATAAATCTAAAAAGAAGAAGAAGAAGAAGAAGAAGAAGAAGAAGAA